ATGTAAGGTGATGAAGATCTGGTAGTTACATTTTTCTGTAATTATATGAATAAGCCTCGAGTCTTCATTTAATTTTACATGGCCTTGCTTACAAAAAAGTATTATCATTCAGTTAGGGTGTGGTTTTGACCCCGAATAGGTCTGATCAGCACTTCCAGTCCACCATGGATGATAATAACTTTTAGGAAGAAAGGCAACAATGAGAGCCTCCTTATATAATTCTTGGAAAATTAAACTACCAGTCTATCAGTGTTGATTCGACCTCGTTTTCGCAACTTGGTCGGAGCATCAATAAGACCTTGTGGAACGTACCTAGTCCTGTATCCTCTGCCACATTATTGGTTATTTCCAGCATCGACCATTGACTTAGTACATCCCCAAACGTTTCACCAGCATCGTCAGTGAGAAGTGGCATTTTCAGTTCAGAGTCACAACTTATCAGTGACAAGTGAAGGCAATTCCCTTAACTAATTTTATGTTCAACTTTTGTGGCATCACTCCTCGCCACTATTTTTTTTCTAACTTCTAATGATGAATCTCTTTCTCTTAACCCTACTTCATATCGCCCATCTACCTATTCACACAACCATATGGTCCCGTTTCCTCCAATATCCCCTAAAAGAACGTAACTACAAGTGGGTTTAGTGAAGTGTAATTATCTTCAATACCAGGTGTCGTTTGCAGAACTCATGAACTGAAGTCATAGCTTCATTGACTCCTATCACTGCAATCGCTTTTTCATGAATTCCCGTTGCCTCTCTTGAGCCGCTTCATAGCGGTGTCTCCTGCTGTCCTGGGTCAAAGCGTCTTCATATTACTGTCTGCTGAATCCCCAAGTCTGCCCAGGCAGTACATGAAATTATCGTTGACTATTCCCTCTTCTCAATTTTCTCTGAAAGAGGATGTTCACGGCCTCAATGATCTTCCCTTATCTGGTGCTATATTCATATGAAGCCAGTCTTTAAACTCCAGAGCATTCCATTTTGTTCACTTCTCCATGTTGGGAAGGCAAGCTAGTGAAGAGGGTTGTCCTTTCCATCAGGATTGTACGAATGTTGTATTGCCATGATGTCGAAAGCGGCTTCTCAGCCAATTCGCAAGAGGGCAGACATATCCGTCGTTTTTTCTCTATTTCCCTTGCTTTCCTTTCATGATCTCGTTCCTTTTCTCTGTTCATAACTATCCGTATGTTGCGTTGTATTGCTTCTTCTGGATATCCGTTTTCCAGAAACATCTAAGTTAGTTTTTCCTGTTCCTTTTCTCAGAACTTAGAATCGACAAGTTGTAGGTTTCTTATGACTATACTTACGGAATATTCCAATCTTAATTACACGAGTATGTCTATACCGGAGGTTAAGGATTATTCCAGCATGCGATTTCTTATGGAAAATACGCAACATGAAGAACTCAACAAAATGGAGAGATCCGGAGTTTACAGCATAAGCTGCAACGACTGTAAAAAAAAATACATCGGAGAGAGGAAACACAATCGGCACAATGATCAAAGAACACCAGCGACTGTGCAGAAAAATGGATACAGAAGGATCAGAGACATTTGAACACAGCGCCCTACTGGCCACACAATTGACTAGAATGCAACAGAAAAACTGGCCTCATATAGAGATAACATCAGAAAACTGAAGATCAAGAAAGCTGTGGACATCCTCTTTGAAGAAACCTGATGGATGAGACAATTTCGCGTACTGCTTGTGACACTGAGAGACTCAGCAAAGACATCAGAAGGAAGAGGTGTGGATACAGCACAACTGTTCAACAATAGGAAGAGACATCGCCAGGAAGAGGCTGATGAGGGACCAATGCAAGTCAAGAAAAGGCGATTTCAGTGAGAGGAGTCTAGTCTGGAATCGTCAAAAAAAATTTACAGGGGATGGTCCACTTGCGGAATGTAGGATAGGAACTGGAAGGCTAAAGGTATAGGTGGGTCAGATATACATCGCCAGTGTGTGCGTGTGTACTTGTGTGCATTTTTCGTGTGTGTTTCTTAATGAGAGGTGACTGGTGGCATACTTGACCACACACATGAACAACATGCTAGTACCCTAGGATGAGATATGAATGTCAAATTGAGGTGCGAGAGGAGTGTGCGTTTTTCGATTTAGGAGAGGAAAAATAGAACCGATGCATTCTCACACCAGCGGTTATGACTTAAGCCGGATACATGGCAATAAGAAGGAGATACAATGTAGGTGGGGATGAGAAATAGCATAACTGAGTCATGGGTGTGAAGCCTAGTGGGGGAAGATTCTCAGGCATTGGCACGTTCATAGGCATGGACGTGGACATAGAAATGAACATTGATATGGGCATCACCTGATCTAAAATCCTCGAATATGAAGTAATCGAGGACGGGAGTTGGAGGCTCTTAGGCCTCCAGCAGTTGAACAGAAAATTGGTCAAGAGGATTGTCTTCACTTGTCACTTTGATAAGTTGTAACTCTGTGCTAACGATGGCGCCTCTCAGTGGCGATGCTGGCAAAACGTTTAGGAATATACCAGATCAATGGTCCTAAGTTGGAAATCACGAGTACCGTGGCAGAGGTAACAGTACTAGGTACGTTTTACAAGGTCTCCCTGACGCCCCGACCAATTTGCGAAAACAATGTCGAAGCAACAATATAAGGCTAGAGGAGAGTGCGACAAAGCGGAAGGCCATACAATATTGGTCTTCATATCTACGAGCCAAGTTTAAGTCATACAGTAGTTTTGATCTTTATGAGCGACTAATTGGCGGACGGGGTAGAGAGAGAAAGGGCTGAATTAAGGTCAGGAGTCCTGAAACCGGCACCTGGTACCGGTGGTGGAGATGATTACGCCCCAATAAACCAACTTCTAGCGACACACTTTTATGTGACATTAAAGGAACCAAAGAGCACAGAATTGTATGAATAGGTAGATGGGTTTGAGAGAAAGGAGCAGCATTTGAAAGTGGGACAAAAAATAGTGGCCTGGAGTGATGCCACAACGGCTGAACAGAAAATTAGTCGAGTCGATTGTCTTCATTTGTCACTGATTATTTTAACTCTGTGCTGACGATGGCGCCTCTTATTGACAATGTAGACTATGATGCTGGGTAAACGTTTGAGAACTTGCCAAATCAATGCTATGACAGTAGATGCATGACTAAACATTCCACGAGGTCTCCCTGACGCTCCGACCAAGTCTAACCAGCAATAGAGACTGAGACCAAACATAAGACCACGCCATATTAGTCCTCATATCTACCAGTCTTTTACTATAGACAAATAGAGTAAGATTGATATGTAGAAAAACTGGGTTTCGAAGAAATCCATAATAGATTCATGTTGGAGTGACTTTCATTTCTTTTGAAGAGGCAAGTGGAAGGGATTCGTAAGCTGGTTCCACCGGAGGCTGTGAGGGGGTTGCCTTGGAACTGTGGTTTTAGATTTGTGTGATTATGTCCTCGGCGCACCACATTGCGACCCTGATGAACCATTGCTGAGCTTTCGTCCGTCATGTCACGGACATCGTCAGAGCAGGACACCATGGTCATCGATAATTCACCAAAAACACGAAGGCAAGAAAGGTGGCCGGCTTCAAACCTATTTCCTTATTATATTCGAATTTGGTCCACTTATGCATCTCATGTTTTGGTTGGGTGTCCTATTTTTTGCCTCTATATTTGCTCATAAGTTACAAAGAAGATTGTATGATATTGTTTTTCAACAGATTAAATTCAGACATTATAAGAAACTTAGGAATTCGGTTGTAGGCTAATCAAAATAAATTTATTAAAGACAATAGTGAGCAAAGGATAGTTGAGGAGAAAGTGATAAATCTCTCCAAAACAACCTTGGACTTTACCATCGATAAGGTGCTCTCGAAAGGTTTGAGCTTTACTTTGTCAAACAGTAGAGATAATAGGGGGAGAAGTTTCTGGTGGAACTCATAAGTTTTGCCGATTATTTTCCTGAAGAGACTAGGAGTGATATTGAATTACGGGTCGTTACTTTAATTAATAGCCATATAGAAATAAAACCCAGGAACAAGAGAGTGAAAAACATCATAAGGAAACTGGACGATGAGGA